GTTTGATGACATAAAATCTAGATGAGAATGATTATGATAAAGGTAGTAATGATAATATTGTAAATGTGAATTAAATTATAATATAAATAAGGTATTAATAATATTGTTAACAATAGTAGTAGATGGTAATGATTATGATAATAGTAATAATATTGTAATGGTGGTATTATTAATGATAATATTCGTGAGCAATAATATTTATTATCATAATGTAAATTGATAGTAGAGTTATAATTTATGGATAATTCAAGGTTCGTTACACATCCATTCGTCGAATACTGATTGATGCAAACACGCATTCAACCGATGCTGGAGTGCACTTCATACGCATCTTTTTCCAACTGAATTACCCACCTGAAATAAGAAAGTTTCAAAAGAAACCCGCCGATGCAGATGATAAATTCTACAGTGAAGGGAATCGATGGAGGTGAGCGTTTGAGAATGTGTGCGATCTTTTTGTTGGATAGCGTTCATTTGAGGTGTTGTTGATATGGAGTTAGTGAGAAGAGGTTAGAGTTTTATAATGACTTAAGTGTGCTGAAAATATATATATGTTAAAATTATGAAATTACAGATCAATACCAGAAGATAACAATGATTCGCGTGATAACTGTGCGGCAATTAACGATAGTCCTACAATGTGTTTGCAGTTCACGAGTGAACTCAAGGTTTAGTTTGTCGTTAACTTCGATTTCTTCGATTTGAAATTTTAGATTCTGAGAGTGGTAGATTTCGGCTAGTGAGCCAAAGCGAGACGTTTGGATTTTTAGAATTGAATTCGTTTTNGTGTTTGCAGTTCACGAGTGAACTCAAGGTTTAGTTTGTCGTTAGCTTCGATTTCTTCGATTTGAAATTTTAGATTCTGAGAGTGGTAAATTTCGGCTAGTGAGCCAAAGCGAGACGTTCGGATTTTTAGAATTGAATTCGTTTTATTTCGTCGGCTTTCAGGATGAATGTCTCTATGAAATCCTCAGTCGAATATATATGCGAGTTGCGTTGCCATTAGAGTTCACTAATGTGGATGTTGCCAGATTTAAAACTTCAGAGTAAGTTTGGACAATCGTTTTCACTTTAACCATTTTCATCATCATCATATTGAAACGAGACCGTAATTGATTTGGGAATGGTTTGTAAATGAGACAAAGGCAAATGAACTGAAAATTATGATCGGAATCATTTCTCTCTATAATTAAGTAAATAGTATATGGGGATATCGGTTGTGCTGAGGCGTATATGGGGATATCGGTTGTGCTGAGGCGAATCAAGATAATCGTCATCACAGGAGATGGATTTATCGTATTATTTGAGATTCAGTGCACATCTGTGAAGAGAGTTCAGAGCGACGGCTTATTTCAGTTACGTTCCAATGCCGGTGAGTTACGTTGGATGTGACCATCGTGCATGTGCTGGTGAACAGTTGTACACTGCAACATCTCATCGAAACGGAGATAACACAGACTCTGAAGTGACGACAGCAGCAGCGACACCATCCAGCAATTGCAACATTACGACTACTGGTTCAGGGCAAACCGCAGCATCGTCATCCTCATCGTATGAACCACCATATCCAAAAGTGGATTTAGAATGCTATCAGAAGATTGTCGATTGTGGAGTGTTTGGATTGGAGTATTTGATTGCTGCATTGATGACTAGAGGCGCGATTGTGAAAGATCAACTCTTGGTGAGATTGCCGTTTGCGTTCGTTTGTTGTTTTTTGTTGATATGTTTTGGTCGTTTGTTACTTGGTTATGTTCAGTTTTGTCATTTATGAATTTTGTTGAAGATAAGTGCGCAAAAACGAAACGAATTTGTCGATTTAGTGGTGCAGCGATTCCACGAAGACCGAGAGGTGAGCGAGTCGTTTTTGTGTGCCAATTTTCTGTTTCATTCATCATCATTTTTAGTTATTACACCAAGCCAGAGTGGATGTTCAGTATTGCATTTAGATGGCATTTGAAGTTTTGAGTTTTCACATTTTTGAGTTTTCA